CACGCGGTCCTGAACGCAATCTGTCCTGCGCTGTCAACACGTGGCCTGCAACACCGCGGTCAGTCGGTCGGTCGGTCGGTTGGCTGAAACAGTGCACGTCGTTGAACTCTAAGAGCACATTCTCATGCACTACAGTTGCACTGCGAGCATACTCACTAGATAGACTCAAAGCCTGACGCCTATGGCTTCCTTTATTGTTTCCAATGAGATCTTGTTTTTAGGGTGCGCCTCGCATTCGACTTTCACTAAGAAACATAGCGGCGATTAGAGTGCAAACCTGGGCACCCGATGTATAAATCAACACCCTTATCCTACTAGACAAGCCTCGTACCAATCAGACCGTAGAGATGAAAGGCTTGGTTGTTTGGACGGGCATCATTATGAATTCGCTCTCCATACCATGCGTGTGATAGCGTACGCCTCTTTCCCTTACCTTTAATCACTGTAACACGAGGAAAAATCGGGGATATGGCACTTTCCTGGACTTACTTTATTTAAGAAATTGTATTAGGCAAGCCAGCATTCAGTGATTGTTTTCCATTTTCACAAAAAGCGTTATGCTAAACCATCGCCATGAAGGTGGAGAGAAAATTTGTGAGTCTCTCATAGAACCCATTCTTTTATACTATTTCAAGCAAACTTTCTAGTAAATTTTAGCATTCGATTCTAGGTAATACGCATGATTTCGAGTAATCTAAATTATGTCTATCAATTAGTTATTGATTGATTATCGATTGATTAATGTTGGGCGGATGTAGTGGCAAGCGGTGCACTACCCACCCATGCATGGTCACAAGTTTGAGTCCTGGTTCTATACCCGCTTAGGCGAATCGGGCCTTTAATCCTTCCAAGTTTGCTTAATTGACTCTTTTGGGAGGAGAAAAGCCATGACTTGTACATCAGCTGCAAACCGCAATTCGTTGAGTAGGCCACATACGCATTCAACACGCCGCTACGACTCTGAATGGAAGTCCAATGCGAGGGCGCATTCCTCAGACGAGGATGGGAAAAGCTAAAAAACTTTAGGCTTTAACAATAATGGTGTAAGTGTGCTCTGGTATCCGTTGCCAATGTCGGTTTATAAAAAATCATTTCGTCTGATTTGATTTTGAATTTTTCTTTCCTGATGAGCTTACTAAAACTACTAGAACCAACTGACCTCGTCGTTGATAATAAACAGTGTTTGCTGAATTATTTATTGACAAAATGAAATCAAAAGTTCATAATAGACATGCTCTCGAATGAAGACACAGACTCTTCTACAAGCTCTGCTGTTTCTACATAATCCGACTGATATGGTATAACCAGCGGTGCGGCTGGAAGGGCACCACCTGGAGTTATCACTAATGGTGTTGCTGTTGTTGTTGGTGGTGGTGTTTTTATTTCGATCAAGTTCTCGTTCTCCAAAGTTGGTGTCCCTGTATGGACGCATGTAAAAGTCCCATTATGGATGTACACCGTTCCCGTAATGACATCGTCATACCACTCCTTCACCTAAAAAATGATCATCGTTTTATGTTACTAAACAACAAATGACTACTATAGTCCAGTGGACCGAAAAAAGCTGTAGAGAACACAAATCAATACAATTGAGCAATTAGCATTCGTAAAGGTGAGAGTGTAGGCGAAATAGCCGTCTATGTTGGTAACATGTAGATCTGTATAGTTTCCAACATCTGGAGGATGAACGTTTTCTGCAACCTGAAATGAATTTTGAAAAATCGAAAGTTTCGAAAGATGGTTAGAGAAGAACCGCTACACTGACACCTAGTAAATAGTGGAAGTATTTCAAGGCAGTGCCGAAATCCGATGCATTGATGGGGAACTCGCTGATTAGTGTAATGTACGCTGTTTCTGTTTCGCTTCCGCATGAAGTATATCCAGCTTTGTAGAACGACGAGCTCGCCACGATTTGCTTCACCCACGCCTTCACCTTAAAATATGGTCATTATTCTGTGTAAATGAGCAACAGCTGACTACTGTCGACTACTGGACCCAAAAAAAGAACAAGTCTTGATGAGTACAATAGAGCAGTTAGCATCCGTAAGTTTGAAAGTCCAGGTGAAATAGCCGTCCGTGTTAGTACAGTTCAGATCTGAAAAGTTTCCAACTGACGCAGAATATTGTTGAATCTGAAATTAATTTTGAAAAATCGAAAAATTCCAAACATGCTCAGAAATAACCTACATACTTACCTT